AACTGAAATCAAGTAACAAAAAATCGTGCATTGTATAAGCTTACCTCTAGCAGGAGTCATAAGGATGGACATTATTGTCTGAACCCTTAAAATAGTCACTATCTGAATTTGAACCTGTAAAACAATATCGCAATATTATGCTTAATATTGTATTTAATAGTTTTGACAATGTAGTGTTCATAATGTCTATTGAAGAATTAAAGAGTTCACCAAAATTGAATGATTGACAATAAAATTCTACAGAGTACTAAGAATTCCAAAAGAAATACTCCATACGAAGGAAATTATTGACTGGAAATTAGAATATAGTCTAAAAATTTTTATAGTTACCTGCAGACGAAGTATCATCATCAGCACCATCTTCTTGAGTAGAACGAACGTTTTTCAACTCAATTGTTATATCTGGAATATGTTCAATCTCGAACCAGCCTTCACCTCCCCTCATATATCTCTTTTTCAACAAAGGACAAGCATCTATTACAAGAGTTTCTAGCGACGTTGACAATGTTGGTCCATCTGACAGAGATTTCAGCACTTTGCAGTGGCTTATTTCTAGATGCCTCAAGGAGGGGAGATGTGGAAGAAACAGAAGCACACTCAGCTTGGGGCATTGCCTTACAATAAGCTCAAAAAGAAGTGGAAAATCACCGTAAGTGACTCTTATCCAAGAGTCTAATTGAGGCATGCCATCAATTAAAAGTGTCTCAAATTTAGGAAAACTGACAATACCATCCTTAGCATGAACCAAGCGATTGATGTCTGTCAATTTGTACATTAAAGTAATCTTCAGATACTTGAGATTTGGTAACTCTCCTAATCTAATTCGAAGCTCTTTTATTGCACACTTGAGGAGGGTTATACTAACAAGCCTCTCATACTCTGGAGAGCCCATCAAAGCTGGCAAATTTAAGCCGGGATAATATAACACCTGCAACTCTTCCAAACATAAGTTTGGCTTAAGATAATGAGTACTCCAATACATGCAGTGTAGGTCTTGTACACTGTATAATTTGAAGTCATTCCATCTTAGTTGCAACTGAGTAAGATACTTTTTATCAGATAAAGTAGATAAAGTAGCTTCCTGGGCCTCACGCTGAGTCACATTTTCCAACCTAGAGATACAAAAACTTCCTTTAAGGTTATTCATGTGCTGGAGTTCTCTAATGCTACAACCCTCTCCTAAGTCTACAATGAATGTTGATAGTATGCGAAGCTCAGTAAGAGCTCCCATACCTTTGGGCATACAAGTTAGTTGGCCCAAAACATCAAAATCTAAACAGCAAAGGCCAATAAGCTCTTTCATTCCATCAGGAAGCAAAGCCGTTTTTGACATTTTGGAGGCCTAGGGCAAAATGATAATTAAAAAAATCATTTATTTATATAATTGTTAAATAGTCATGTAATTTGTTAATTCGTAAATAATTTTCTATAATTTGTTAAATACTTTTTCCCTTTTTTTAATTACACCATTTGGACATTTCATTCACACTTCTCTTTTGATCTTCTTTTGTGATTTATCTGTTAGAAAAAAATATAATTAAATATCATATTTTTATATTTACTTAAATAAATAAATAGTAATCATCAATAAATAATAACCAATCAATAATCCATAAGTATATATTTCAATAACTATATATTTAACGACACTAAAAAAATTCGTGTTGATTCTTGGTGAGATAATGCACCCTTCTTCTTTTTGCTTTTTTTTGTCATTCTCGTATAGAAAATATTTGTGTAAAATAGAAATGTATATACTGATAATTAGTAAAAGGTAAGTCTAATATAAAAAAGTAATGAAAAAAATAACCGCAATAAGTCGAACTTTAGGTGATCTTTCAATATTAAGTCAACTTTAATGAATTAAAAATAAGTCTAACATTGATGTCTATATTCCATAAATAATTTAAGTACTAGATTTACTTGTGACCGATCAAACAAGTCATCAATTGACTTATACTATAATTAACTGTCAATTAAATAAGAATTGACTTAATTAAAAATAAAATATATCTTCATATTAATTTTAAATATAAAAATTATTTTTAATTTTAACTATAATAAATAGTTGGGAAATTCTACATGGTGGCCTCATATTTTACAGTTTTCTATGTGGAAGACGAACCTTTTTCCAGCTCTCTTCAGTGGCACCAAGGTTTAGAAAAATTTACAAAGTGACCTTTTTAGGTTTATGGCTAATCATTTTAATTAAAATGGTTAACCTTTGTTTTTTTTATTAAAAAATTATTTAAATTATATTTTAAAATAATAAAATTTAAAAAAAAAACAAAAAAATTTCCAGCCACCCCTTGCCGGAATCCGGCCACCCCCGACCATCGAAACCACCGAAATTGGCCGGCCGGCCTTCCACAACCCCACCTGACCTAGCCCCAACCCCAAAACCGCCACCCCGATCCCCAAAACAACTACGAAGTCCAACGAAACCACCGCCACCCCCACCGCGAAACCCTAAATTCTGATTTCCTGTAATTTTTGTCGATCAAATTGAACAAAAAGCCGCCATTGTTGGACCTCATGTTTCTCGATATGTTTTCCTTGGTAGTGGAGGAGGGGTGTTTGGTGGTTTTCGTGAGTGGAGGAGGAGCAATTTAGGGGTGGCTATTTATATTTTTGTTTTTTTTAAAAATTTTATTATTTTAAAATATAATTTAAATAATTTTTTAATAAAAGAAATCAAAGGTTAACCATTTTAACTAAAAAGGTTAGCTATAAACTTAAAAAAGGTCACTATGTAAATTGTCTAAACCTTGGTGCCACTAAAGAAAACTGGAAAAAAGTTCGTCTTCCACGTAGAAAACTCAAAACCATGAGGCCACCATGTGGAATTTCCCTAAATAATTTTTTAAAAAGATTGGGGTGTCGGGTTTGGTCTGGAGGGCTGGGTGGTCATAGGTTCGTGCCGACTAGGGTGGGTGAGAGTTGTGTGGGTTCGATCGATTGGCTAGGTTAGGTCTAGGTGAGAGTTTACCACATAATTGTGGTTTGAGAATAAGGGTTGGGGTTGGGGTTTGGGTGGGAGTTCGCCAAATAAGTGGGGTTCGAGGGTTAGAATTAGGGTTTGGGTGGGTGTTCGCTGGACTGGTTGAGACACTAGGGTGTAAAGTCAAAATGTATCTAATAAAAGACAGATGGAGTATTAGAACAACTCCAATGGTAAGCTAATTAGCAAATTAGTTTTTTTTTGCCACATAAGATTAAAAAGCTAATTTTTTTGTAGCTAGTTTGTGCCCTGGCTACTAGCTTATGGTGTTTGCCAGAGAGAAGAAGAATGGATTTTGGAGTAAGTGCAATTATTCTATGATTTTGTCTCACTCTCTTTGTAGTATGGGTGACGTACTGGTGAGAACATTGTTTTGGTAATTTTGGAAAGGATATGGTGAGTTTAATTACCATGTGTTGGGCTATGTGGGGCACAAGGAACAAATGGATGATTAAGGGTGAAAATCCGAATGTTGAGCAAATTGTTGCCTATGCTTTGAAGATTAAAGGTGGGAAAGTTGAATAACATGGGGAATGGAGGGGTGGAAAGAGTGTCTCTATGGACAGGTCGATCTCCTCCGACATCTGATGTAGTTAAAATTATTGTTGATGCTGGTGTTTTGGGGGAGGTGGGGACGGGGTTGGGTGCAATCTGCAGGAATAGTGAGGGGGTGGTGCTTTGGGGAGCTACGGTGTAGTGGAGTGAAAAATGAGAGACTAAGATTGCAGAGGTGAAAGCGGTATTTTGGGGCATGAAGATTGCGAGACACAAGGGTATGAGCTGCATTGGGATCGAGAGTGATAATCTGGTGGTGATTGAGGCAATGAGGAAGCGTTTGTATGGCTCAAGTTCATTTCATCTGATTGTAAAGGATATTCTAGATTTTTTTTCGTCTAATTTTACTAGTGATTCATGGTCTTTTGTAAAGCAATGGGGTAATAATGTAGCACACAAATTGACTTACTTTCAACCATGGGAGTTTGGCCAATGGGTGTGGAGTGATGTAATCCCTCCTTGCATTTTGGAAATTTCTTCGGTTGATCTAGATGGGTTTTTAAAGTTGTCCCTTCCAAAGTTATTCACTAATAATTTTCTATTTTACATAGATCACTAACTAACTCATACAATTAACTAACTCATTTAATTCTGCACTTACTAGTCTGCAACTGTATTTATAATAAAATGTAGGTGACCATCAACTAATGTTAAAACCGCAAAGGTAACACTATCTATACAATTGCATAGTTCACACTTCACATGACTCAATTAATTTTCCATAATGGCCACGACAAAAGAGTCATCCTAACCACATTTTTTTTTTAGGAAAACTCATCCTAACCACATTTAAGACATGATAACTTGTAATTGACTTATGTTACCATACTTTCCTTTTGTTTGTTGTAAACTCAGTTTAATTAATCTAATTTCAGCCGTTTTCAAAATTTAAAATAAAAAAAAAAACAACCAAAAAAAAACTTACAAACAAATTATACAAGCTTTGGTGTGTGAAGATAGTATTTGAGAAATGAAAGTGTAAAGATAAACTAATACTCCGTACTTTTTAAAACAAGTTTACTCTAAACCCTTAAAAGGTCTGTCCAGCCCCTTAATTAGACGATCGTATAAAGACTTAGTCCATTTATTTATTAGACGGATCTAACCCACTAATAACTGTGGCGGGTCATGGGTCATGGCTTTTAATAGGGATCCAAGGCGTCCAACCCATTGAATTGCTCTGTTGAAGCGCATTCAACGTTCTCCATTGAAGCGCAGTTGCCGTTCTCCGTTGAATCTAGTTCTTGTATCCCCCATTGAAGCAGCTTCTGAGGTAAGTTGTTTGTATTTGTTATCATCATATCAAATATCCCTTAAGTTATGAGATAATTGAATCAAATATCCCTAAAATTATGAGATAATTGAATCAAATTAGGTTGCTAATGTATTGCACAACACTTTAATGTTAGCATTCAACTATGTAATCGGAGCTCTTTCCAAGAGCTCAGGGCTGCCGCCCGTCCTGCCCTTCCTCAGGGACGGTCCTGTCAGGAAGGATGTATAAATGCCTACACCCTTCAAGTTTCAAGGTTTGCAGTTGATGAAGTTGATCAATGGATTCAGGTAAACTCTCAATTAGTGTAAATGAAAGATCAAGGTAGCTTAATTGTATCAGATTACCTATAGAACTTGGCAGCTTAGTTATATGGCTTCCACTCAAATCAAGTGCTTGTATAGACTTGAGAGCTAAAAACAAATCTGATGGTATCTGTTTGAGAGAAGAACCATAATTACGAACAAATAAAAGTGTCCTTAATTCGTTGAAAGTCTTTAGTGTCTCAAATGTTGCTTGATCAATGTGATTAGACACTACTGAGACATGCCAAAACTTAGATCCAACCACAGATGCATCTTCATCTTCTAACATGGCACGAAGATCCTTATTCTGGAGTGTTTGGATCCCATTTAGAAGATTTGTAACCTTATCATAATTAACTTTGTACTTATTTTTTCCGGTCAAAATATCAATCCTTGCTAGTAAGATGTACTGTCCCTCTAACAGAGCATCAAATCTTAAGTTTCCAGCATCTTCCATGTGTATATCTCCTAAAAACCCCACAGCCATCCATAACTGGACTAATGTCTCTCTCTCGAATTCATAGTCATCGGGGAAGAGGCAGTAGTGAAGCTTTGTCAGCTCTCGTCCAGGGCTAACAATAGTTTTCATCCTCATTATTGCTTTAAAAACCAATGCTAGAGTGCGCCAATGATTATGATTAATTAGCAGTCCTAGGATTATAAATCGACGCAATAGATAGTCATTATTTGTCCAAGTTTACATAGTTTAGCTAGTTTATTACCAATTATGAACAAGGTTGTTTACAAAGTGTTAGGCAAACCGCAACTACATACTACATTTGTTAATCTACAACAATCCTTTTTTTTTTTTTTTTCTTTTTGGTAGCCATCTACAACAATAATCTTGAAATGAACAGAAAAGATATGGATAATACTATAATAGTACCTGTTGTTCTATTCATTCGTGATTTCGCTACGAAATATGGATCACTCTGATGCAAGTGCGAGGCTGTTGAAGCATTAGGCTCCTGGTTAACATAGCAGATATGTCAAAGGCAAGCATATGCAAAAAATGTAAGCACTTTCTTATCTACACATTTTATGATATTAGGGTGGCTATTAGTGGCTAATGCGCATGCCATACTTAGTCATGTCACAAGAGCTCTTTTAGTTTGGTATGTTACAACTATAACTGTTGGTAGCTGAATGGGGAAAATTATGTAAATAAATATTTTAGCATTATAATTGTATGTACAATATGCTTAAAAGCCTAAACAAAGAGACATTTTAGATCATGTTCTGTTCACCTTATTTTCACTTATTAGATAAGTTCAGTTTAGAGTTAATAAGTTCAGTTAAGATATGTTGTGATAAGGGTTAATCAGGGTTATTCAAGTTTAATCTATAACTAAAATAAGTTCTAATAAGGGCTAATAAGTTCAGATAAGTAAAAATCAGATGAATAGAACGCACCCTAACATTAAAGATAACAAATAAGTAAATAAACATTTTAGAAATAATATTGGTAAAAGTTACTTCAAAGTATGAATGACAGTCGTTCCAAAAAACAAAATTGTTATTGGTTTGTTCACAAAAATCTCATCATTTCCACCTTATGATGATAAACTTAATTCACCATACAACTTAAAACATTTGGTCCCTTACATTTCTTGTAAACTACAGTATTATCTTAAATAACAATTTTTTATGTAACTAATTTAAAATGTTGAATTCTTTAGCTTTAAATGTAGAATATCTAATTTTTGGAATATTTGAAGAAAAAAAATTAACAATTTTTGGCAAATAAAAATAGGAAATTTTATCAGATTTTTTTTTTTTTAAAAGTAAAAGTTAAAACTTCAACTTACATTTTCACGTTTTTCGACATTGACTTCCACCACCATTGTCCACTCCTTCCACCACTATTCTCTCTCCTGAATCTCCTCCCTCACACCACCGCTACACAATTTTCATCTCCTCCCTTCCATTTTCACAAAATGGTGCTTTTAAATTTTATTATGATTAATCCTTAATTTGTGTCCTAATCAACATTTGTGGTCTATTATCAATAATAATTAGTTCACCAAAATAATAATAATAATAATAATAATAATAATAATAATAATTGAATTGAGCAATTCTCTCAATAACCATGTCAGCATGAGCAATTGAATTGAGAAAAAACTAAAATGGACTTTCCTGACTTGGTGAAAACTTGTAGATTTGTCCATCAAGATAAACTTTTAAGACGTTGGGTCTGGAAGCCGACTCCGACAGATGGGGCAAAGAGCCCAAAGATTATTGCATCTTGGGATAGTTCCTCATAATTGTTGATTACCTGAAAGTAAGACACAAGTGATAAGCATCAACCTCATTCCCTTTACAAGATGTTTGGTGCATGGGAATAGGAATTTGAGGAATATACTCCGCAGGTTGGGATAAACAGGGAAATTTAATTTGTTGTCGGGAATTCATAAATATATGACCATGTCAACTGAAATCAAGTAACAAAAAATCGTGCACTGTATAAGCTTACCTCTAGCAGGAGTCATAAGGATGGACATTATTGTCTGAACCCTCAGAATTTGCAGTCATGAAATACTCTAGAACCCGGGCGAATTGAAGCCAGTCAGACAATCGAACCATTGGAAGACCTACAAGTTCCAATCTTTTGAGATTGGGCAGCAGTAATCAGGGGCGGACCCACCTTTAGTCATAGTGGGTCCGGTGACACAGTATTTTTTTTTAAAAATAAAATATCAAAGAGACCGCTTATTATAGATAGGTGGTCTCTTTGATTCTGCTATTGGTAACAACAAACAATATCAAAGAGACCTCTTATTAAGATAGACGATCTCTTTAATGATGCTATTGCTACAAAAGACTTTGGTTTTTTTTAAATATTAAAGAGACCTGTTATTTATATAAGAGGTCTCTTTGATGCTGCTATTGCATTTCGCAATTTTTTTGCGCTAGTTTCTTTTTTCATTAAAGAGACCAGTTATATTTAATAACTGGTCTCTTAAGTTATCTCACTTTTTTTTGTACAATTTTTTAATAATTTTTTTCCCTTTTTATATCTTATATTTGTATAACCAATTTTAATATTTCCCCATAAAGCTTATCAATTAACTAAAAAATCATAAAGTTAATTCAATATAATAATTTAATTGTACCATTTGTTTATAACATGTTATTTGTAGTATTTTCGACTTGTAAAATTGAATTCTTAAGTACTGTATTTGGTTGTTGATTAGGGGATTTTTATCCACCAATCACCGTCTGACGAGTGGACCAACCAGGTTCCGCCACGTGTCCTTCACGAAGGCCAACAGGAGCCTGCCACGTGTCAATCACAGATACGTCCTCTACGGACCAATTTAGACACGCCACGTGTCCACCCATGCCAAATGGGAGAACCGGCCATCAAGGCCCAATTCAGTCTAGAGGCCCGATCAGCCCTAGGTTTACCTTAAACCTAGAGAGTGGCACGCTTCTCAAGGCTATAAATACTCAATTAATCCTCATTAATTGAGGGGTGAAAAAAAAAAGTAATCAAGCAGAGAAGAACAGAGTTATTACGGAACATCAACAACCGGCTAATCTTGCTAACGACGCAGATTACCAACACTAAGCACTCTCACCTAGAGAGATCTCATTACTTTAATTTCTGTATTGATTACTCCTTAATCAGGTACTAACTTGACCGTTGGAGGCGGAGCTCTCAGGAGTCTCCGTTATTTTGCAGGTACAGGCGTCCGGTTCCAGTCTCGGAATTGTAACTCTCCCGCAGGACATCAGAAAACCCCGAAACATTTGGCGCCGTCTGTGGGGAGAGTACTTCAGAGATGGCATCCAAGTCTGTACCGACTCCAGAAGAGAGGCGTCCCCTAGACGACCCTCAAGTTCAGTCGGACCATGATACCGAAAGTGAATTTGAAGTTGAAACTCATACAGCTCCAGACGGGACCCTAAGGGCCCGACGTACCCGCCATACCGAAAGGAGGGAACGGGAGCATCTTCAAACAGGAAGCGAGCCAGCAGGCGCACCGCTTGCTCGGCAACAGCCGACTGATGGGTCTGCTCCCATCACAAGGAACGAACTCATGACCTTCATGAGGGACTTCAAGGAAGAGATTCAAGAGTTGATCAACAAAAAACCGCCTGCTTCAGTCAAAGAGCAGTCGGCCAAGAAACCTTCCACTTCACTGAAGAGGAAGCCAGTTCAAGGGCGAGAGGCGACTCCCCATCCTAAATCCAAGAAGCGGGAGCCACCTGCTCTTGATTTTACAAAACTCCGTTATCCTACGGGAAATAGGAAACCGGTTCGTCATATTCAGGCGGACGGGTCAAAGCAAACGTTCACAGATGCTCGGCTCCTGCTAGAGCAGAAGAAGAGTGACCGATTATCAGAGTCGGCTTCTACTTCAAATTTTCAGGACAGTTTGCGAAATGCCTCGATGAGGCATACTCAGTCGTACCATGAGAGTCAGTCAGGCGGCACCTCCCGTCAGTCCGGCTTTCATAGTGCCCAGGCGGTACCAAACTTACCATTTGTGCCGCAACAACAGTATTTTATGCAGCCACCTCCATTTGGTGGACCTGCAGCAAAAAACGTCCAACCTATGGACTGGCAGCTACGGCTGCTTAGACTTGGTGAACAGCCGTTGGCCTTCTCCAAGGAAATTACTGAAGCCGCTCAGCCGGCCAAAGTAAAAAATGTTCTAGTAGGCGCCTATGACGGCACTACTAACCCAGAAGACCATCTGATGGCATTCACCAACCTGATGTACCTTCAAGGGTTGGATGATCCCACTTGGTGCAAGTGTTTCCCAGCGACTCTCAAGGGAATTGCACAGCAATGGTTCGGCAACCTGCCGACTGGTTGTGTAAACAGCTTCAGGACGCTTGCTTACTTATTTGCCTCCAACTTCGCAATGAACATCCCTGCGAAGAAAACGACCCTTGATTTGGGAACAATTCAGCAGGGCGAGAAGGAGGGGCTTCGTTCCTACATCAGGCGGTTCAACCTGATGAGAATACAGATTCAAGGGTTACCGGATGAGGTAGCTTATACTGACTTTTTTAGAGGTCTCAAAGACGGGTCTACCTTCAAATTTGATTTAGTTCGAAAAAGGGTGGCGACTCTTCAAGAGGCCTTGATTGAAGCAGAAGCCTATATACAGGCGACTGATCTGTGTACGATGAAACAGTCGGACGGGAAGAGGTTCGACAAAAGAGAGGGACGACAGAAACAGTCGTCCAACAAAGATGAGAAAAGAAAAGAGGTCTGGGCGGCTGATTCCTCTAAACAGCCGACTCAGAAAAAGAAAAAAGAATTCAAACCATACTCCCCGAAGTATGTGTTTAACAAGGATAACCAGTTTATCCTAAAAGAAATAAAGGGACGACTCTCAATTGAGAAGCCGCTCCCCATGAAGGGTTCTGCAAGCAACCGGAACCAAGACAAAATCTGTGCTTATCATGATGACGTTGGTCATCACACCAATGACTGCATCAGTCTCATGCGGTACCTAGACCGCTTGGCTGATCAAGGTGATCTTGACACTTATGTCAAGAAATCTACGGGGAACACTTCCTCAAAAAAGCAGTCGGCCAAAAAGAATCAACAGGCCGACAGTTCCGATACAGATGATGCAGTCGTCTACACCATTGCAGGCGGCTTCTCAGGAGGCGGCCTCACTATTAGGGGCAACAAAGATAATATAAGGCGGTTAGATGTAAATTCCGTTCACCAAGAACGGCCGTCCAAATATACATTTCCTGAGATTGTCATCACTGAAGAGGATCTAGGAGGAATAAGGGGGCCGCATGACGACCCTCTTGTTATTGAATGTAAAGTGGCCAACCAGAGAGTTGGTCGAATCCTCATAGATACCGGGAGCTCCTCAGATCTCATCAGCAACAAATGTCTGTCAAAACTGAAATATCAGACGGACTGCATACATCCGGCCTCCCACCCTTTAATAGGGTTTGGAGGAGGAGTCGTCCACCCACTGGGACGAGTAGATCTACC